TCAGAGCATTTGGCTGCTATAAATGTCCACGTGGTGATAATCCACTATAATTTGTGACCAGGTCGCTTCTGAAAACGAGGCGACACTGTTCGGCGGGCCTCACCTGGTAGAATAACAGAATAGTAGCGAATCATTCATCCGAGTGGTGGAGAAAGGAAGAGTGGAGGGGGGGAGGACAAACGGCTCCTGAGATTTCCTAATGGATTCCTTGTTCGCCACCTGCGCGTGGCTCGGCAAATCCTTGCTACGACAAACACAAAACAACCAATACGCACCCGCGGCCATGAGATTACATTTTTTTTATTTTTTGTAATGAAACTTCGCGTGAGGTTTGCTTTCGGCCAGAAAACCCCCCCTAGACGATACAACAACAGCAAAAAACAGTGTACAACAAAATAGCCCTTTCGTTGTGGTTGTGAGTAAGGCAGAGAGCGGCACGAGTTGGCGGGACTCGGAGGGCCGGAGCGCGAACGCGGCTCCAGCCACGCCGCGTTCCAGTTGCTGTCTTGGAGGCCGAGCCCAGCGTAGCGCCGAGAGATTGGCGCTCGCTCGCTCTCTCTGGCCACCTCGCGACCACCGCCTCGCCCGGATTATAAGACGCACCTTCGTGAATTTTAAGAGCAACCGTTGCACGTGCGTTCTCGTGATCCCGGAAGGGTGTTTGTGTTTCTCTCTTGGCGGGGAAGGGGGGGGGGGAGCGGTGGTGCCGTGGTTAGCGCACCGCGCTGCAAGCCCAGCCGCACGAATTCGATTATCGCTCACGGCCAACACCGGTGAGGAATATCTGAACCGATAGAGGGCATCTCTGTGTCGACTCGGACTGGAATGGGTCAGGCTATACGGGTGGATCTTTTGCCTTTTGTACGAGTGTACGTTTTTGTCTTGTACGTGTGATGGTGTGTGTTTTTGTCTTGTACGTGTGATGGTGTGTGTTTTTGTCTTGTACGTGTGATGGTGTGTGTTTTTGTCTTGTACGAGTGTACGTGTGTTTTTGTCTTGTACGTGTGATGGTGTGTGTTTTTGTCTTGTACGTGTGATGGTGTGTGTTTTTGTCTTGTACGTGTGATGGTGTGTGTTTTGTCTTGTACGTGTGATGGTGTGTGTTTTGTCTTGTACGTGTGATGGTGTGTGTTTTTGTCTTGTACGTGTGATGGTGTGTTTTTGTCTTGTACGGTGTGATGGTTGTGTGTTTTTGTCTTGTACGTGTGATGGTGTGTGTTTTGTCTTGTACGAGTGTACGTGTGTTTTTGTCTTGTACGTGTGATGGTGTGTTTTTGTCTTGTACGTGTGATGGTGTGTGTTTTTGTCTTGTACGTGTGATGGTGTGTGTTTTTGTCTTGTACGTGTGACGGTTGTGTTTTTGTCTTGTACGTGTGATGGTGTGTGTTTTGTCTTGTACGTGTGATGGTGTGTGTTTTTGTCTTGTACGTGTGATGGTGTGTGTTTTTGTCTTGTACGTGTGATGGTGTGTGTTTTGTCTTGTACGTGTGATGGTGTGTGTTTTCTGAGCGGGGTGTAACCAGAGCGTGTGCGTTTACGGTGAAAGCGCGCGTGTGTGATATGTAAACATTGCCACTAGGGAGACAAAGGTGGCCGGGCATGGGGGTTGGCCACACAACCCCCCCTCCCCGCACCTTGCGTTCCCCGTCCGCCTTTTATTCGGCGTTGACTCACAGCAACTGCTCCATCGGTCTGTCGACCCAGGGGTGGCTTCGTGTGCCTTGTGTTAGCGTGAATGTGTTCGTGCGACCCATATTTAAAAGAACCTTTGACGGCAGGCAATAGTGTGTGTGTGTGCTATCCGAACACTTCTTGTGATCCGGATAATACCGTGGACGATTAAGCCGACGACGGATAGACCTCCCTGAGAAACCGCAAAAATACTCACAAATGTATTATTAACACACCTGCAGAGCAGCTGTAACCCATTAATGGCAATAATATCACACAGCCTTTGTGCCAGTCAATCCACTGCTGGATGAAAGCTTCCTCCGTCTTATCCGTGTCGCTCGCGGGAGGAGTTTGACCATACTCACCACGCTGGTCAGTACGGTGTGATGAATGGGGGAGGGGCGAGGGGGGGGTGGGTGGACGCAGGCAACCCCGGTTCTGGACGATCGCCGTAGCCAGGAATCGAACTCTTTGTTTGCTGGGATCGATAGCGCGGCGCGCAACTCCCTTGACCAACGGTGACGTCATTCGCACGGATGGCCCCGAAGAGTTATAAATAATAAATAAATAACTGCGCTGTTCGATATCCCTGATTGGGGGGGGGGGAGGCTACGTCCACACAGAGGGGATACTGGGGGTGCACACTGAAGCCTCTGGTTTTCAGCCTCCCCCCCCCCATATATACCATCGTCCCCCCCTTCCCCACCACCTCCCAATATATGTATATGATGGTTGTATGGCAAGATTATATTGCTCCTATAACAAACAATAACAGTGGCCATAAACTACATCTCGAGTGTATAAAATAGGTGCTAGGTTCAGCCGTGGCCCTTGTATCATAGCACACGGCTGTTCTGTAGATGGCGTGCTTAGATGTTCAATGTGCTGAAGAAGGGAGATTGCCTGAAACGTCGTAACCTATATATTTAATTCCCTTGTTTGTTTTTTTTGTTAAGGCCAGATTTGGCGAGGAATGTTGAGATGGTCTGTGTTTATTATGTTTAACACGTAGCCTTTCGCGACCAATGTCATCCATAATAGAGGTTTTGCTAGTGGCTGTGTCGGGTGGTGGCGGGTTTAACAACACATTTATATATATTTGTCTATTGTTGTGCACCCACGCAGCAGCGGCAGCATCGCCAAGTGATCGGTTGTGATGCATCGAGAGTCTGTGCAGGCTACACGGGGGACCTTTGTCTTTGTGTGCACACCTGCGTGCGGGCGAACACGTGCCGGAGAGAGACAGCTCACAGCGTGGATCATCTCCGTCTCTCTGTCTCTCTTGCGGCGATAAGTAACACCGGTGGTTTGGTACGAACACTCTACACACGTCTACACGCACCCATTCACACTGATGGACAACACGCATCCATTCACACTGATGGACAACACGCATCCATTCACACTGATGGGCAACACGCATCCATTCACACTGATGGACAACACGCATCCATTTCACACTGATGGACAACACGCATCCATTCACACTGATGGACAACACGCATCCATTCACACTGATGGACAACACGCATCCATTCACACTGATGGACAACACGCCATCCATTCACACTGATGGACAACACGCATCCATTCACACTGATGGACAACACGCATCCATTCACACTGATGGACAACACGCATCCATTCACACTGATGGACAACACGCATCCATTCACACTGATGGACAACACGCATCCATTCACACTGATGGACAACACGCATCCATTCACACTGATCGGACAACACGCATCCATTCACACTGATGGACAACACGCATCCATTCACCACTGATGGACAACACGCATCCATTCACACTGATGGACAACACGCATCCATTCACACTGATGGACAACACGCATCCATTCACACTGATGGACAACACGCATCCATTCACACTGATGGACAACACGCATCCATTCACACTGATGGACAACACGCATCCATTCACACTGATGGACAACACGCATCCATTCACACTGATGGACAACACGCATCCATTCACACTGATGGACAACACTCATCCATTCACACTGATGGACAACACGCATCCATTCACACTGATGGACAAACACGCATCCATTCACACTGATGGACAACACGCATCCATTCACACTGATGGACAACACGCATCCATTCACACTGATGGACAACACGCATCCATTCACACTGATGGACAACACGCATCCATTCACACTGATGGACAACACGCATCCATTCACACTGATGGACAACACGCATCCATTCACACTGATGGACAACACGCATCCATTCACACTGATGGACAACACGCATCCATTCACACTGATGGACAACACGCATCCATTCACACTGATGGACAACACGCATCCATTCACACTGATGGACAACACGCATCCATTCACACTGATGGACAACACGCATCCATTCACACTGATGGACAACACGCATCCATTCACACTGATGGACAACACGCATCCATTCACACTGATGGACAACACGCATCCATTCACACTGATGGACAACACTCAACGTGTAGTCGACGCAGGACTGTTGCGGCTAGTGCTCGCGAGCACCAAATGAAGGCAAGGCCACACGACGCAAATATACCCCCCCCCCCCCCCCCCCAGTATAGGCCTGAACAGACTGTTGGGGCAAATTCTGTTCACGAGGAGCACCTAATTAAGGTCGGTAGGGCTTCACGAGGTGGTGGGTGGCCAGCACCACACCCGGCTGCCTTTGTCTTTTCCTCTGCCCTCCAGTGGTTATGTTTACACATCACCCTGGCTACTGATTAAGGCTGAGTCGACACATGCACACACAGACAGACACATATACACACACGCACGCCTATCCATTCACCAACCACGTTCGCTTTTGTGAGCAAATCCAAAACCGGGGTTGATGTTTTTGTTGTCTTGTTCGGCCCATCGACTTGACGCCGACGGGGAGGAGTTTTGCACACCACGTGGGTCTGTGACGCGTGGCAACTCGACAAATCAATCCGCCCTCGTGCTCTAGAAATGAATCCTGCAAGGGCAGAGGAGCAGCCCCTGCAATTGCTTTGCTCACTTGACTCTTGACTGCTGGCCGCCGTTAAGAGGGAGCGCCAGAGAGAGAGAGACCCATCATCTTCCACGCTAGCGAGACGTCCTTGGAAGTGGGTGGGAGTTCCCACACTTTACCCCACCAACACGCGACATACCGATCTCCGATTGAGCACTGGTGGCTACGTACAGTGCGAAAAAAAGTTAAACGTAGTACGTCATCCGTAACACCTGCGGTGGAACGCAACCGCGTGGGTGGACCGTGGCCAGGAAACGTCCCCCACCCCCCCCCCCCCCATTTGGGTCTCAAACTTCCGAGCCGGGAGATCCGGTGACGACCTCCCTGAAGCTGTCCACCCGTGATGACGCAACACGGGGCCCAGCGCAGGCTCTCAGAGCCACGTCCTCACTCGCCCTTGAGCCCCCACACCCCCACCACCTCCTCCTGCTGCTGCTGCTGCTGCTCCTGGCCCCCCCGCCCGGCCCCCGCCGACCCCCCAGCCCCCGCGTGACGTCCGGCGCCCCCGGTGCCCGCGTGGCCGTAGCGTGCCACCTGTGCCAGGATGGCGACGTCCATGCACACCTGGGTCACTCCGCACGCCCGGAACTGCAGCGGCGCCGCGTTCGCCACGAAGTAGAACGTCTTGAAGACGTCTCCCACCAGCCACAGCAACACCATGGCCACGCTGGGGGGGCGGGGGAGGGAAATAATGGAGGGTGGGGGAGTCAGGGGGAGCAGCCTCCGCCATCTTTGACAGAATCCCAAGGCGCGAGGTTTCACAGCCAGCGTGAGTGGGGTCCGCGTGACGTCATGGGAGGTATTCGGGGACCTCCAAGGAATTCGTCTCCCCCCCCTTCACCTCCCAGCGGGGGGGGGGGGGGCAGGAGGGTTCAGGGCCCCACCACTTCCGTTCTTCCCAACGCGTTAATGTCGCGAGATGCAAAACTAAAATTTGACGGCAGGATTTGGAAATTGCCCACTCGCCGATTTGACAGCGACACACACCGAGGGGGGGGGTAGAGGGGGGGGAGTAGAGGGGGGGGGCTTGCCCACGTGCGCCCCACACGACTGGCGCTGCGCTGCTGCTGATGCTAATGATGATGGCGAGTAGGTCGTGGTGCTGCTGCTGATGATGATGATGATCACTTACACGAGCCGCGCGGGTGCATGGGGCGGTTAATTGTAGGGGGCAGAGGCGCAGCTCGCTAATTGGGGAGCTCGCTAATTGGGGAGCTCGCTAATTGGGGAACCCTCGCGGTTTACAGGACCCCGATATTTTACACAAAGGTGCCAACTCACGTCCGGCCTAATAACTCGTGTAAATAATTGGATGTGATTTATATTTATTTCCGAAACATATATAACATCTTAATTAATGTTAAGTAACGTATATACAGGCCCGAGTGTGACGGGACAAACGTGACTCGTTGTCTGCTGGGTTGGGGCGAGTGTTGCCCTCCAAGCGGTAGCTCTTTGCCAGCCGCTTCCGCGGGCCGTTCTCCGGCACGGAGGGGATGCACCACCGCCTGCTCTGAGACTTCTTGAACGGATGGGTCGACCCCCGTTGGTCAATCCACTGCTGGATGAAGGCCGCCCCAAGCCCTGGTGGGGTCACCTTTGGGGTTGCTTTGACTATGTTTCACCACGGTGGGGAGCGAGTTGTTTCAAGTCGCGGGGACAATGAAATGCAGTACAATTTACGATTTTTTATTTTTTTTCCCCGCACTGCCCTCTGCTGCCCACAACGTCGCCTCCCCCAGCAGCAGCCTATAGCACCTGTTATGCACCCATCCACACTGTATCCGGGCTCAAGCCTGCTTAGCTTGTAATGTCCGTGTGCGGCCCCGTGTGTCCGTCTGCCTCGCCGCTGACCGCCAGTGCCGCCGGATTGGTTTGCCTCGGCGTGGAGGTTCAAGAGGACGATGCCGCCGCACTGCCCTCTGCCGGCCGCCACGCGGAATGCCACGCTGAGTGCACCGAGCGCTGTACCCACGTGCTCTGCGGCGTGCGGGAAATACCACGTGGTATACGGAGGGGGTCGCGTGCACCCCGCGACTGTTGTGTCTCATGCAGTGTGCGGATCTTGTCGGGAGGGGAGTGGAGGTGTGGGTGAGGATTGCAATTGACCCCCACCACCTCTCGACTTTTAAAATCTGGAAATTGCGGAACTGATACCGCTCCTCTCCGCCTCCCCCCGTGTTGTTTGCGTGTTGTACCGTTCTTACCCCCGTGTACCCCTTACTGCGGTCAAAGCGGCGTCATAACTCATGGGATTACCTCCCGGGACAGACGCAGATTCCGACTCTGACCTCATGCCCGCGGCGGAACGCGCGCGGTGGATGCGGTAGAGCTGCGGGGCGCCCAGCATCGCCTCGCAGAGCAGGGCGCCGGCGCCCAGCACCTCCACGGCCCAGGGGGAGCCGCGGCAAAGCCACGCGCTCGCCACGGCCGCGGCCACGCTCAGCACCGCGGCGCACGTAGCAAAGTCCCAGAACGAGTCCCAGCGCCAGAAGTCTTCTGCGCGCAGGGCTGGGGGAGGAGGGGAGGAGGGATAGGGGAAGGGGGGGAGGGGGGTGAGTGAGGAGTGGGGGAGGAGGATGTGGAGGCTGGAAAGCGGAAATCGGAATCACAATATGTATACTGGGGAAATCCGATGAGCTATAAAGCTCTCTTTCACAGATGTCCAGTAGTAAAAGGGCGGTAAAGGAGGATCCGAAAGGATGAAGTAGGATGATGAAGAATGATGTAGGATGATGAAGGATGATGTAGGATGATGAAGGATGATGTAGGATCATGAAGGATGATGAAGGATGATGTAGGATGATGAAGGATGATGAAGGATGATGTAGGATGATGAAGGATGATGAAGGATGATGAAGGATGATGTAGGATGATGAAGGATGATGAAGGATGATGAAGGATGATGTAGGATGATGAAGGATGATGAAGGATGATGAAGGATGATGTAGGATGATGAAGGATGATGAAGGATGATGTAGGATGATGAAGGATGATGAAGGATGATGTAGGATGATGTAGGATGATGTAGGATGATGAAGGATGATGAAGGATGATGAAGGATGATGTAGGATGATGTAGGATGATGAAGGATGATGGAGGATTATGAAGGATGATGTAGGATGATGAAGGATGATGTAGGATGATGAAGGATGATGTAGGATGATGTAGGATCATGAAGGATGATGAAGGATGATGTAGGATGATGAAGGATGATGTAGGATGATGAAGGATGATGTAGGATGATGTAGGATGATGGATGATGAAGGATGATGTAGGATGATGTAGGATGATGAAGGATGTAGGATGATGAAGGATGATGAAGGATGATGAAGGATGATGAAGGATGATGAAGGATGATGAAGGATGATGTAGGATGATGAAGGATGATGAAGGATGATGAAGGATGATGAAGGATGATGAAGGATGATGTAGGATGATGATGTAGGATGATGAAGGATGATGTAGGATGATGATGTAGGATGATGTAGGATGATGTAGGATGATGATGAAGGATGATGAAGGATGATGAAGGATGATGAAGGATGATGTAGGATGATGAAGGATGATGAAGGATGATGAAGGATGATGAAGGATGATGAAGGATGATGTAGGATGATGATGTAGGATGATGTAGGATGATGAAGGATGATGAAGGATGATGAAGGATGATGTAGGATGATGTAGGATGATGAAGGATGATGTAGGATGATGTAGGATGATGAAGGATGATGTAGGATGATGAAGGATGATGTAGGATGATGAAGGATGATGAAGGATGGTGTAGGATGATGAAGGATGATGTAGGATGATGTAGGATGATGAAGGATGATGTAGGATGATGAAGGATGATGTAGGATGATGAAGGATGATGAAGGATGATGTAGGATGATGTAGGATGATGAAGGATGATGAAGGATGATGAAGGATGATGAAGGATGATGTAGGATGATGAAGGATGATGAAGGATGATGTCGGATGATGTAGGATGATGTAGGATGATGTAGGATGATGTCGGATGATGAAGGATGATGAAGGATGATGTAGGATGATGAAGGATGATGAAGGATGATGTAGGATGATGAAGGATGATGAAGGATGATGAAGGATGATGTAGGATGATGAAGGATGATGTAGGATGATGTAGGATGATGTAGGATGATGTAGGATGATGATGTAGGATGATGATGTAGGATGATGTAGGATGATGATGTAGGATGATGATGTAGGATGCTGTAGGATGATGAAGGATGTCCCGTGTAAAATAGCCGCGTAACTGCCTAAAACAGGATCATCTTTGTTAACACGCAAATTAAGCTTACACATCATCATCACTATCATCGTCCGGCATGTGGACTATGCACGATTACGCAGACCATTGTAAGACTTCAGCATCACCAGCCGCCGCAATGATAGCCATTAACAACATCCACCTTCGCTAGGTATCAATACAATACACTACAGTGCACCATCTATGTGAGGGGGGTCAACAGGTGGAAGGGAGGCCATCTATCCCCTCCACTTGTCACCGCCATCGATCCCTGAACCCCTAAAAACCTGAACCCCTAAAAACCTGAACCCCTAAAAACCTGAACCCCAACGCCAAGGGGATCGCAGACCCCGAACAGGGACGAGGGAACGCCGCCCTCTAGCGGAGAGAGGGGGTGGTGGTGGAAGTGAAAGTGCGGCGTAGAGAGAGAGAGGGTGGTGGTGGTGGAGGAGGTAGAGCAGGAAAAGGAAGTGAAAGAGTGGGAGAGAGAGGGAGAGAGAGTTGACGAGGTGAGCGAGTGAGAGTGGTGACGCGCGCGTCTCACCGACGAGTCTGCGTGGCCGCGTGTCCGTGGCGCGGGGGCTGCCCCCTCCTCCACCGGTGGTGCCCCCCCTCGTGCTCACGTGGAGCATCGCCATCATCACGGCGATCATCACCACGCTCTGCAGCAGCAGCGGCAGCTCGAAGCGCTTCCACACCCTGCGCGCGACAGCAACACCGAGAAGACGGCCGTCTCACAGGCGCAGAGTCGTGATCCTCGGCGGCAGTGATCTATCCACTGCTGGATGAAGGCCTCCCTTATGGTCATCGCTTTCGTTTCAAGTAAATGATTTGCTGCCGCTACTGCCAGCCGAGGGAGCGCCCAGGACTCGTTCAGACATCACCCCCCGCTGATTTTGGCCGTGTTCGGGAATCGAACTCGGGTCACTGGAAGCGAAGTGCACGTTAAAGAAAACAACGTAACCTCCACCCCCGAAATATCACCGGGGTAAAAATAAAACAGCCGTGGGCCGATTTGGCAACGGAGCGAGAACACCGAACCGAAATAACTTTTGACTTAAAACTTTCGTGACTGCAGAAATTTATACGAACTAAGTTCACCCCCACCCCCCCACGGGAGCCGCCGCTGCTCGGCCGGCCTGGAGCATGGATGATCGGCGTAAGGCACTTCCACGAGAGTACAAGTTCCGCCTTTCCATAATCTCTCTTCATAATGATAATTAAATATTATGCCCTGCATTGCTCTCAAGTAATCCTATTAACATGCGTATGAACAATTAGAATTGTTTTTTACCCTTTCTGGCAATAAATCAGGAGGTGTTAAGCTCAGACACCAAATAGAAACCTCTTGCAAGGAGTCAAGTTCACTGCATTAACCACACACAGCACTTGTGGTGAACGTGCAAACAACACATGCTCTGATCATAGATGATGGCATTGTCTTTGAAACGGATTGGTCTCCGCCAGAGACAGCAGCCTTCATCATTACCTCGTCTCAACAGTGTCAGACGACAGAAGAACGCCGAAAGACGACCAGTACGAGGACAATGCACGAAGAACAGTACGAGGACAATGCACGAACCCAAGCATTCATAGCTCGGGGTGAGCAGCTTCATGATGGGAACTTTTTGCCAGTATCAAAGTATGAAAAATAAGAAGAGGTTTTACCCTTTCTGGCAAAGTGAAACCTCTTAACGCCTGTTTTATTTCCAGAAAGGGTTAAACTTTTATTCGTATTTTTAATACTTTGATACTGACATAAAGGTCCCATTATAACATGCCTCTATTTAGCTTTATATATAAACATCAACTATGATGAGATGGATATAGATAAGGTTCTAAACGAATTGCCGGAGCTGTTCCGGTAGAAACAAAGCGGTTGTCGATTCAGCGTGCATCACGTGGTCGAGACAAATATGGCCACAGTGCAGTTCCTCAGGAACTGTGATGATTATTTTCCCTATAAGCATCGGCACGGCCACTGTTATTCTCTCTTGGGGTCACTCTCCACTCGAGTCGTTCGCAGATTTTATTTCAGACACGGTGGGCGTCAGGCATGGAGATTGTTGGGGGGGGGGGAGATACTCAAAACTCGTCGATTTATAATCGATTTTTAATCGATTTTTAGCCACACGACGCCTCGCTCACGTGACGCTCTCGCGATAACGCTGAATGACAACACCCGTCCAGAGTTTTCGGGTCGTGTTGAGACCCAAATGTTGCAATTCCCCCCCCCCCCAGAAGGCCCCGCGTGGCCCATAAGATATGAAGGGGGGGGGCTTTGGGAAGGAGGTGAATGGTCTGATTGTTTGTGTTGTTCCCCGTTCATTGAGTCACTCAACCGCAAAGTCACCCAGTAACTAACGCGCTCACTCAACCGCTCACACATTTACTCGGCCACTCATTAACTCCTTCATGCTGCCACTCATTAACTCATTCACTTTGCTGACGTATCCACTCGCATTTGCCCTCCGCCCCTCCATCCCCTCGCCCCCCGGATCCGCCACTGTCAAGTGCGAGATGTCGCAGCTGGGCTCTGTGAATGTGCCCAGCAAGTGGAAAGACGTCACGGAACGAACGCTCGCCCCCTCCTCCTCCCCACTAAAATTTGCCCGAACCCCCCTCCACTAATATTGCCTCTCCCACAATAATAATAATATTGTTCCTACCACCCTCCACTAACATTGCCTCTCCCACAATAATAATAATAATATTGTTCCTACCACCCTCCACTAACATTGCCTCTCCCACAATAATAATATTAATATTGTTCCTACCACTCTCCACTAACATTGCCTCTCCCACAATAATAATAATATTGTACCTACCACCCTCCACTAACATTGCCTCTCCCACAATAATAATAACATTGTTCCTACCACCCTCCACTAACATTGCCTCTCCCACAATAATTATATTGTTCCTACCACCCTCCACTAACATTGCCTCTCCCACAATAATAATAACATTGTTCCTACCACCCTCCACTAACATTGCCTCTCCCACAATGATAATATTGTTCCTACCACCCTCCACTAACATTGCCTCTCCCACAATAATAATAACATTGTTCCTACCACCCTCCACTAACATTGCCTCTCCCACAATAATAATATTGTTCCTACCACCCTCCACTAACATTGGCCCAAACCTCCAATCCCCACGAAGATGAGGCCCCTACTCCCCAACTAAAAACAACTTCACCATCATCAGGCCCCAGAGTGGCGATGCTGCCCAGCTGTGGTGCATTCAGCCGCGCCCGTTGCAGAGGCTCGCGGTTCGGATCGAGCGGCCGCCCTGACTTAATGCTGCGGCTGTAGTGAACGGCAAACGATGCTTCCGCTGAATCACGCTGGACGTTACAGATCTCGGGGTCAAACTAGTAAATGACACCGCGAACGACTCGTTTGTGAACTATAGACGACACATCGCCCCCTCTGCCGGTAGACTATCCTGGCCCCTTCAGGCCTCCCCTGGCTCGACAAAATACAGGGACTCCTCTACTTACGAACGAGTTAGGTTCCAGAGGTCTGTTCGTAAGTGGAATTGTTCGTGAGTCCAACTTTACTTCTGTCGATTCCAAACGTGTTTGTGCGGCGTGTACACTAAACACGGGGAATGGCTTTTAAACGTTTTATAATCTCCTGTAGATGTTGAGGCCACTGGTTTCTTCACGTTCTACAGATGTAGATGCCACCACCGCCATCTATTGCGCAGCGGTTGAACTTACGACTCTCGGTCCGAACAGGCAACTGGACATCCGGACAGGTTTGTTCGCATCTCTGAAAGTTCGTAAGTCGAGTGTTCGTAAGTAGACTTTACCGAAAGACCCAAATAATATGAATTCCTGCAGTCACCAAAGCTTTTAAGTCAAAAGTCACTGTAAGCAACTTGAAACGCCAACTACCACCGTAGAGAACCACAACCATCAACACCACACCGCAACCACCCATCACATCAACAACCACCGCACAACCACCACCGACCAACAGCACCACCACCACCCATTCCATTTTAACAACAAAGGCAAAGATCCCCCATACAGCCTTCACAGACTGTTGGAGCAAGTGCTGTTAGCGAGCAGCTAATGAACGCCCGTACGGTACATGCAGGGGTGGGTGGCCAGCACCACTCCCGGCCGCCTTTGTCTCCCTAGTGGCGATGGTTCGCTGGTCGTGGATCGCGGTATAGGGCTTGGTTCTGTTCAGGTCGTGTTGGGTTCCGGGTTTGGGATGGCGTTTGGCAATTGCCATAATTACAGAGGGGTGGGCGAGGAGGGGAGGGGCCTTGGCCTCGTTACCCCCACGTGTGTTTGTACGAACGTTGAACTTCTTTCGCACCGTACGTAGCCAATCGTGATTTAATCGGAGGTGCGGGGGGGACGACAACAACAACACTAAACACGCGAGTTGTTGAGAGGGCGAGAAGGGTGGTGGTGGTGGTGACGGCAGTTTAAACAATGTTTAACTCCTTATCGGCATCTGCATTGTAAAGCACTCGAGCTGGGTGTGACTGGTGGTTGTGATGCTTGTGATGTCCACGATGACGATGATAGTGACACTGGAAACTATCGTCTTGCTCATACCGACGATGATGATGATGATTGTCCTGCTAATACAGCTGTTGGTGATAGTACGACTGGTGATACGGCAGTTGATGGTACTAACGGTGCTACTGATGATACAGCTGATGACGATGATAGTGGTACTGCTGATGATGATGGTGCTACTGGTGGTGATACAGCTGTTGATGGTACTGATAATGCTACTCCTGATACATATGATGGTACTGATAGTGGTACTGCTGATACAGCTGATGGTACCGACAGTGCTACAGCTGATGACGATGATGGTGCTACAGCTGATGACGATGATGGTGCTACAGCTGATGATGATGATAGTCGCAACGAGCTCCATCCGTAGCGCGCGCTCGCTCACCAGAACACCACGCGCAGCACGCTGGCCGTGAGCACCACGAGGCAGACGTGCAGAGAGAAGTTTTCTGTTCTCCCGGAGCGGCGAATGGCGAGGAACTGGGGCAGGTAGGGCACGGCTCCCCCCAGCACCATCGCCGCCGAGGCAGCATACTCCCAAACAGTCATTCTTCGGCTCCTTCTCTGCTCCTGCTGCTGATGATGATGACGATACTGCTGCTGCTGCTGCTGATGATGACAACACCTGCTGATGCTGTCCACATGGCCCAGCAGCAGCGCTTAGCCCCAGCCCCTTGTCCAGGAGTCCAACCCTAAAGCCCGCGGGGGGGGTCGCGGCCTCGCGCGGTTGATGAATGCGCGACCCGGGCTGAACCGCGAGCAGGAGGAGGAGGCGGAGGAGGGAGGGAGGGAGGGGCGAGTCGGTGTCTGTGACGATCCCCTTCTTCGTCTGCGCCTTCACGGGCGATTCGAGGTTTGTTTTGCGTTTTGGGGTTAGAGTTCGGAGTGAGGTGAGGGTTGGCGTTAGGAGTAGGGTTTAGGCTGGGGTTGTTGTTGTTGTTACAGTTGGGAGGCTAAGAGATGCAAGTTGTAGTTCGTGTTAGGAGCTTAGTGGCGGGTAGCGTTAGGGTTCGATCAGACACTGAGTGACTTATTTCAACGATTGTTTGAACGGAACACTTTCGGTTACTCAACCTCCCCCCACCCCCCATTCATCCGGCGGCATAAGCGTATTAATAATTCATTATTATAGTAATTATTCATTATAATAATTATAGTAACTATTAATTATTATTATGATGTGCGACGAGGCTGTGGACTGGATGAACCTGAAGGCTGTCGCTGCTCGCCGCGTGACCCCTCAGGGGCGCCGCGTGACCCCTCACGGGCGCCGCGTGACCCGCAGCCTCCCGGGGACAGCCGCCACTGCCACGGTTGCGGGCCGGCCGATCACTCTCAGTGCGGTACGCGGGAGCCAGAGGCTGGCACGGGCAGCGAGAGGGGCAGCGAGAGGGGCAGGGATGGGGGCAGGGAGGGGCGGGCGGTAAAGGCTGCGGTGGGGGAGGGGCAGTGAGCGCGCATGCAGTTGAGAACGCGCTGCGGGCACAATTCAGGTTTGGTCACATACCTGGGAGGGGAGAGAGGGGAGGGAGGGGCGAGTGGAGGGGGTAGGGGGGGCGTAGTGAGGAACAGAATACTGGGAGAGGCAGAGCCGGGGGAGAGAGAGCACACAGGCTAAGAGGGGAGACGCACGTGGGAGGCCAGAAACGGAGAACCGGGGAGAGAAGACAGAGGAGGGGGGAGAGAGAGATAAGGGAGAGAGAGAGCGAGAGTTGCTGCACTATCTTGCGGGTGTCCGCCCACACCGCTAACGTTGCCGGGATCCGGTAACGCGAGAAGGCGGTGGTGATGGGAGGAGGCGAGTGGGGGAGACGCGGGTGGTGGTGGGGATGATGGTGATGGTGGGGATAGTGGGGATGGTGGGGGTGATGGTGGGGATGATGGTGATGGTGGGGATGATGATGGTGGTGCCCTCGTCTCAACGCCACCGCTCACATCGCCACGGCTCCTCCCTCCGCCTCCTCTTCCGCCTCCTCTTCCTCCTCCTCCTTCGTCCCGCGCCGAGCCTTCCCGTAACGTCACCGCGCACGGAGCGGCGCGTGCGTCACAGGGGGGCGGGGGAGGCGGCGGGGGTGAGGGGAGGGGCTGTGGGGGAGGGATGAAGAAGCAGAGATGCGATGAGCAGAAAGGAAGAGGGGAGTGAGTTTGAGAGACGGGTGATCCCGTGTAGGCAGTTCCCCCGGCTCTCTGTGGTGTGCCGCGTGGAGCAACAAGGGACATCGCCGTGGCAGAGAGGCAGGAGCGTGAGCTCGGTGAGGAACGAGAGAGCCTTCGGGGGAGCCGGGTTGACTCGAGCCGAAAAGCCTCGACCTTGTGACCCCGGGCTAGCGCAGCCAGCGCGTGCGTGCGAGTCGCAGGAAGGCGAGAAGCAGAGAGGCGGCAGGGAGAGAGGAGAGGGTCAAGATTGGCGATACTGGGGGGGGGGGGGGAGAGAGAACGGAGAGATAAGAGAGAGAGTTACTCTTTGGTTCTTTCGGTAAAGTCACGTAGAAAATCAAATAATAGAATACGACGTATCGGTTGCAACTCAAGCAACCATCATCAGGTAAAAATGAATGATAAAAACTCAGACACGGGAACAGCATAGGCAGACACACATGCAGAGAGAGACACACACTAACACCTATTCTTGGTTCTTTCGGTAAAGTCACGTAGAAGGGAAACAATAAAATAAGAAGAATAAAAATATATAAAACAATAAAATTCTCACGACGTTTCGACTGCAACACAAGCAATCATCATCAGGTGTGAAATCCACAGCAAGAAAATTTGAAAAAGTGGCGGGTTTTTTTTAACGTTAGCACCACGGATAGCGATTTGACAGTTTGTTCAGATGGACGAATCCATCTATTTTGATTTAAAGCTTTCGTGACTGCAGTAATTCATATTCTTAGTTTTTTCGGTAAAGTCACGTTGAAGAGAAACAACTAAATAACAAAATATATATAAAACAATAAAAAAAATTCTCACGACGTTTCGACCATAACTCAAACGGTCATCATCAGGTGTGTCGGTTTGCATAAATTTATTTTTTAAACGGTACATTTATTTATAAAAAAAAACGTTGGCGTCACGCGCAGCGATTGGCAGTTTGCCCAGGACTAGTCCATCTATTTTTTTTTAAAAGAGGAGGGGGGAGACGAAATTTTTTATAATGTATGCTGTCTGAAAGCCACTGTAAGCGTGAACAATCAATCAAGAACTGAAATGATTTATCAAATCTTTCCAATGATTGCTAAGATAGAATCCATCTTCTCGGTTGAAATTGTCTCTGTGTTTGTATATGTGGATAGCCTCATGAACGAATCTCTCATGGAAGCCGGAGGTTCTTTGTAAGCCATCTGGCTTCCATAAGAGATTCGTTCATGAGGCTATCCACATATACAAGCACAGAGACAATTTCAACCGAGAAGATGGATTCTATCTTAGCAATCATTGGAAAGTTTTGATAAATCATTTCAGTTCTTGATTGATTGTTCACGCTTACAGTGGCTTTCAGACAGCATACATTATAAAAAATTTCGTCTCCCCCCTCCTCTTTTCAAAAAAAAATAGATGGACTAGTCCTGGGCAAACTGCCAATCGCTGCGCGTGACGCCAACGTTTTTTATAAATAAATAAATGTACCGTTTTAAAAATAAATTTATGCAAACCGACACACCTGATGATGACCGTTTGAGTTATGGTCGAAACGTCGTGAGAATTTTTTATTGTTTTATATATATTTTGTTGTTTCTCTTCAACGTGACTTTACCGAAAAAACTAAGAATATAAATCCATCTATGTTCGGAAAAGAGGAGGGGGGAGACAAAAATAATGGATGCGGTCTGAAAGCCACTGTAAGCGTGAACAATCAATTAAGACCCGAAATGGTTTATCAAATCCTTCCAATGACTGCTAAGCCAGAATCCAACTTCTCGCTTACAGTGGCTTTCAGACCGCAGCCATTATTTTCGTCTCCCCCCTCTTTTCAGAACATAGATGGACTCGTCCATCTGAACAAACTGTCAAATCGCACTCCGTGGTGCTTACGTTAAAAAAACCGCCACTTTTTCAAATTTTCTTGCTGTGGATTTCACACCTGATGATGATGGCTTGTGTTGCAGTCGAAACGTCGTGAGAAATGTATTGCTTTATATATTTTTATTATTCTTATTTTATTGTTTCCCTTCTACGTGACTTTACCGAAAGAACCAAGAATATGAATCCCTGTAGTCACGAAAGCTTTCAATCAAAACACTAACACCTGTTTATCTTGGTGTGTGTCTCGCTCGGTGTGTCTTTGTGTGTGTCTCTCTCTGCATGTGTGTCTGCGTATGCTGTTCCCGTGTCTGTGTTTTATCATTCATCCTTACCTGATGATGGTTGCTTGTGTTGCAACCGAAACGTCGTATTCTATTATTATTTGATTTGATTTTCTACGTGACTTTACCGAAAGAACCAACGAGTAATTCCTGCAGTCACGAAAGCTTCGAATTTAGAGAGAGTTGCTAACCGGACTGCGAGGTCAACCGGCGCGGGCCACGGTGCCTAGTAATCCAGGGTTGGTGGATCACGCACGAGAAGGCAGTGTGCTCTACAGCAAGCACGCGGACTCCACCTGCTCCGTCTGAACGGGATAGAGTTTCCCCGTCGCACGCGTGCGGCTTTCCCCCCCCCCCCCCCCCCCCGAGTGCTCCGGCTGCTTCCCACGTGACAGCACTCATTGGCCGACAAAACCTTGATAGAGGACTACAGAGCGTGGGCAATTGTTTGCGCGAGCTGCTGCCATCACGATCGTCTGTGCCCCCCTCCCTCCCTCCCTTTCTCTGTGAGCTAACGTTTTGGGCAACGACCCTGGTCCAGATGACCACAGACGGCGTGAAAAGGCCGACCGAGAACAAGACGGGAGGTCGCACCCGGCCTTTTGAAAAACAGTGACACATTCGCACGATAGTTACAGTCATTGACGGAGTTTATTGATTCATAGGAGGAAGAAACAAAAGTTGTAAAACAAATCACGCGATAATAATATTATTACAAGTTGATGTTTTCTTATTATTAAGACTTTGGCTTTAGAAAAAACAATTATTTCCCTCTGTCGCCTGCTCAACGACCGCGGAAGCTTGGACAATGAGGAGTGGCCGCTGCTGTGGCGTGTGCGCGTGTTCGGGTTGGTTCCGCGTGTTGTTCTGGCACGAGGTCCGACGTTCCGCTCCACGTACCGGCAGCTTTTATATTCGGTTACTGTGGCAACCTCCCGATCCCTGATGCTCCCAGCACGTGACGTGCTTAGATGCCCGCAGAGTCGCAAAGAGACTCAGAGATGTGTGGACTCACAGACCCACGGACTCGTACAGAGGAACGCGTGGCACTGCAGTGCACACGCAATGGCCATCGGGTGGACTTCACGCACCGCGTCTGCGCGCGTGCGTGTGCGCGTGTGGACTCCCGTCCCGTCCCTGCGTAATTCCGAGCGTGCGCCTCTCAGATTTAATTCCATCAGGGAAAAAAAAAATACACGGAAATTCCTCGCTTAACGCGGCGTGGTGTTCACACAATGCGTTTTCGCTATAACGCGGCTCTTCCGCTCGGGGACGCTTCTCGCACAACGCGGGTCTCTGAGCGGTCGACGACGAACTACTTTCATGAGCTGCGCAGCTGAGCGGAGTGATACGGTGCTCGGAACGATACAGTAATGAGGCGACGTACCGCCAGACATTTGTCGCGTCCATCCGTATATCTCGCCAAACTTTAGCGTCGCGTTGTTTACAGGGAGAAGTTGTTTTTGCTTGACGCGGCACTTGTCTTTTTTAGTAACGAATCTACCGCGTTAAACGAGGACTTACCGTTGCCCGTGCACGGATCGGTGATGTTGAGATCCACCAAGGAAGTGAGTGGGCCGTGGAGTGAGACGCACGCTTGGGGACTGCGCCGAGCGACAGGATGAGGAACGCCACGAGGATGAGAGAGGGAGAGTTCGCGAACTGGAGAGGCGTTGGCTGTTGAGACGCATCATGGCTTGAAGGGCGGATGATGGTGACGACGATGATGATGATGACGATGATGGCTGATGGAATGGCACTATGGATTGTGGCATCGCCGGACAGCGAGGGATGACACCGGCGTGGAGAAGCCTTCATCCAGCAGTGGACAATTACTCATGATGATGATGGACAGGCCTTAATCCAGCAGTAGATAGACCAATGGCTGATATGCGGGCGCTACATGCCCTTGTCTTCATCTCCGTTATTGGGATTTCTCTGAGCTTAAAAAAAAGCCACCGATGATTTACATGAACTATGTTTGAGCTTCCACCGCGAACAGCGATTTCGCCTTTTTAACTGAGCCCGCAATCCAGAGGTCGCCCGTTCGACCTCCCGGCGCGGGAGTTAAAACAAGGATGGAAGTTTCTTAGCCCCCCCCCCCCACGTCTCCCCCCCCCAACCCGCCTCTGTCCACCCAGCATCGGCAAGGGAGCTCACCCCGGTAGATTTGATCGGCAGATCGCGTATCGGTGGGGTAAAGTGTGGGTACACACACCTCCTGGTAGCCGAATCACGGCGGCGGGCACGCGTGCAAGAGGCGGCCAAAAATACCCCCAAACACCCCCCCCCCCCCCCCCCCCCCCCGCCGAACGGAGGCACCCTTCCTCTAACACTTGCAGCGCTGCGCCTTTGCCCGTGTAACACATTGCGTTGTATAAATGCATACATAGAGGATGGGGGGGGGGTGTGAAGGAAGGGGTCTCGCTTTGAGCCCTGCATAGTAAATGTCCGACGATAAAATACAAAAACAATCCCCTCCACGTCGCCCCCCAGGCAACCCGCCGCGCCAGCATCAAGCAGCGGGCAACGCGGGCCGCTCACGCACGGCGAAGCGGGCACGGAGCCTGCGCGCACAGCCGCCGCTGCTGCTGCTGCAGGAGTGGAGCGGGCAGCAGAGGGCAGCAGAGGACAGTGCAACATCAACAAGGCCGTCCACAGTGGTGGGTGGTGTGGGCCACGGGGTAAATCCCACACCGCGTGGACCCCCCCCCAAAGCCTTCAGACTAAACCGGAATCGTTAAATCTGACACCGTGACGTCAAAGCGAGCTCCCGCCCCCCCCCCCCCCCCCCCAAAGCACCGGGCCCGGGGCGGTCGCCACGATTCACCGGCGGTACCCTCGCGACAGCTCTGAACATCAACATCCTAGTTGTTGTACTCTGCTGGACTGTACTTCTGTGCTCCCAAGTGTACGCTCCCCCGACCTTCGCCCAGCCCGCACCCGAGACCAGAGAGCCCGCGAGATTCCATTCCGTGTCTTGAGTGTGACGCGTTGGTTGGTGGTTGTTGTTGTTGTGGTGGTGGAAGTGGTTGTGGCTGTTGTAGCCGCTGAGATCAGAGTCTGTTCCGTTTCTTGAGCCCAAATCTCACCCAAGCTCTCGCCTCAAACACTCCCAGCACCATCATCATTCCATCATCACGACCGCACCATCATCATCACGACCAAAGCATCATTACTGCCATCGTGCTCACAGCATCATCATCCTGTCGTGATGCCACCATCACCACCCTAGCATGGCTATGGCATCAACACAAAATATATCATCAATGCTACTACAGCATCACCAATCAGCATTATAATAGTAATCATCATCTTACCATGGCTACATTACAAAACAAAATACCATCAGTATCACATCATCATCCTAGCATCACCACACATCATAAATATAATAATCACTCACATCATCATCCGAGCATCACCACACATCATCATCATAGCATCACCACACATCATCATAAATATAATACTCCCATCCACCACCACAATCATCATCCTACAGTTGTCACATCATCGTCATCATCTGCCCCCCCCCCCTATCTCAGGACTTTGGCTCGTCATCCGCTCGTCACATCTTCACGCTGAACACCATGGTCATGAACTGCTCGAACGAGATGTGGATCCAGCCGTCCAGGTCCGTGTCGTGGCCTCGGAACGAGTTGGTCAGAGTCTGCGGCGGAGCGAACGTCACCACAAAGTGTTAATACACAAGACAAAGGTCTCCCGTGTAGCCTTCAGACGCTGTTAGGGGCAAGTGCTGCTCACGAGCGGCACCTCCTGAAAGGCCGGCATGGTTCGGTCAACCCACTCATTCACGTACTCGAGTCACTCGGCCACTGATTCAGTACATCACTGAATTAAGTTGTGGTTGAGTGATTGAGCGAATGAGTGGTGGAGCGACTGAGTAAATTTATTAAATAAGCGGACCGTGGCCACCACTGCTCGACTTTTATTAACTCGTTAACTCACTCGCTGCTAGATATTGGTCCTGGTTCGATGTGAAGCTGTACATCACACAAAGTAACGATTGGCGAATGTGTGGCCAGTTGGACCGGACCCCCCTGGGTCCCCCACCAACTGTATCGCTCTAAACTATAAACCATTTTTATTTTACCAGCCAAGGCCCACTGAGCTACACAGCTCTTTTTCAGAACCGGCTTGGCCACAAATGATAGCTCAAGGAAGTGGCTTATCACGTGGAAATGTATAGCAGCAAAATACTCTAAACACGTGACCTTGATTCTAAATATGGAAGAAAAAAATCCACGCGACAATGTAAACTCCAAATCTACAGCAGCAGCAGCAGGCGTCAGGGTCGGGATGGAACCCACGACCTCCTGTACACCAGGCGAGGTAGTTAACATCTCCTAGCCACAACATCTCCTAGCCACAACATCTCCTAGCCACAACATCTCCTAGCGCTCCCCTAACTAACCCAGGCCACGAGGGGCCACGCAGTCCCATCGCCAAGGCTTCTCGTCTCCCACGTGGCTTGGGTGCTTGGGGGGAGGGGGAGGGAAGCTGGGGGGGAAGGTGAGGGGGGGGGGTCCAAAGAGGGGTCGCAACCAGCCCCGCCCCCCTAATACCCCCCCCCCCCCCCCCGGCGTGGCAGTGAAACAAGAAGCCCCTTTCATTGACACGGGGCAGCCAGGGGGGCGAGGCGGGGTGGTGGGGAGGGGTCACGCACCGTGCCCAACGCAATTAGCCGCCTCAGCCGAGCTCTGAGCCGGTCGTTGTTGCGTGGGGGATGCAAATAGCCCGAGCCGCGGTGCACAGGCGACTCTGTGCACAAGCTGGGGGGCGGGGGGGGGCGGGGGGGGGCGGGGGGGGCTGTCCGTCCCCCCCCCCCCCGCCACCGAGCGTCGCCCACTCGGGCAGCAGTGGCGAGAGGCGGCGATGCCCCGGGCTCTGTCCCCCCCCCCCCCCCATTGACCAGCGTGGGGAAGTATGGTCGAACAATTCCTAATGATCGACACGGCGTGGTAAAGGCCTACTCATCCAGCGGCGGTGGAGTGATGATATCTCGTGACGATGCTTTTCGAAATAAGAATTAAGAACCTGACCCAGAGCGCCCCCCCCCCGTACCTGCAGCACCACGCAGCACTGGATGAAGTCGTCGAAGGCGATCTGACCCCGACTCTGGCGGTCAAACCTCCAGATGAGGAGGTCGTAGAACTGGTCTGAGAAGCGGTAGCCTGGCGCGCCATGCCCACGGGGAGAGATCGGCCCCACGTGACTCCCAACACCGGCCAGGTTCGATCACCCACCCACCCACTCAGCCACACATCCACCAACCCACCCACTCAGCCACACATCCACCAACTCACCCACTCAGCCACATATTCACCCACTCAGCCACATATTCACCCACTCAGCCATATATTCACCCATTCACACACTCACCTACCCATCCATCCACTCACTCACCCACCCACTTATTCACCTACTCACTCACTCGCTCACTCGCCCACTCACTCGCCCACTCGCTCACTCGCCCGCTCACTCACTCACCCACCCACCCAACCACTCTCTCATCCACACATTCACTCATTCGCCCACTCACCCACCCACTCAGCCACACATCCACCCACTCACCCTCCCACCAACTCATTTACCCACCCACTTATTCACCTATCAACTCACCCACTTGCCCACTCACCCACCCACTCGCATAACTTCTGAAGCACCCCACCCCCCACCGACGTACCGAACGCGGTGAGGGCCCCCCGCAACTCGCGCTTGTCGATGAACCCTGAAGAGTCCTCGTCGAAGCGGCGGAACATGGCCTGCCAGTCGCTCACGTACTTCCAGAGGCCCGCGAACTCGGCGAAGTTGATGGTGCCACGCCGCTCGCGATCGAACAAACCTAGACCCCCACCACCCGGAGGGGCGGGGCGTTGGAGGGGTGGGGGGAGTCGCGCGCTTTCAGATGCGCTGCTTCTGCGGCCGTCTGGAACGCTCTCTCTTCAGATATTAGGAAGCCACTGGGAGCTGTGATACACTTTTAGTTCATCATCCAGATTGACAATCTAATTTCTTTAGAACTGCTTTGTGTGATTAGTTGGTTGTCCCCCCCCCCCGCACAACAGGTTAGCGTAGTTGACTACGTATGGTGCGAAAGAAGTTCAACATATATACAGACGAGGAGAGAGAGGGAGGGAGAAGTTGATAGACACGCAGACAAACGCACGATGGACATCCGTGAAAAAGAGCTTCATTCTGATGTAGCTGGGTGGTGGATGGATAGACAGAGAGACGCCTGGACAGACAGCTGGAGAGACACGTGGACACAGGCAATCCAATAGATACATACAGACACACGTACGTACACACACAGCAGTGGCATGACCCAATCACCATTGTCTTCGCTCATTACATCATTGACTCATTGTCTAATTACATCATTAGCTCACTTTCTCGTTAACTCATTACCCCATTATCTCGTTCCCTTGTTCGATTGTATGGCTTTAACAACTGCGTGTTCAACTCCCCGTATATCTGAGCGTGTGTGTCTGTGTCAGTGTTTGTGTGCGTGTGTCAATGTGTTTGTGTGTGGGGGGAGCGGTGGTGGAGCGATTCGCGTGCTGCGCTACGAACCCGGCGACCCGAGTTCGATTCACGATCACGGCAAACACAAGTGACGATTATTTGAACCGGTCCTGGGCCTCCTCTAGGTCAACTCAGCCTCAAATGAGTACCTGGTGCGGTGTGTAAACATCGCCACTGGGGAGACAAAGGCGGCCGGTCGTGGTGCTGGCCACCGTTCCTGCCTTCATAGGTGCTCGCTAACAGCACTTGCCCCAACTGTCTATTAAGGCTATACGGGGCGTCTTTGTTTTAGCAGCAGTGTAAGGTGGTTACAATGCGCTACAAATCCCGCCACGCGAGATCGATCCCCGCTCAGGGCCACCATCAGTGACCGAATGTCCGAACCGTTCCTGGGTCTCCCCTAGGTCGACTCGGCCTCAAATGAGTACCTGGTGCGGTGTGTAAACATCAGCACTGGGGAGACAAAGGCGACCGGGCGTTGCGTTAACCGCACTTAATGGGTACCCGCTGAAAGCACTTGCCCCACCAGTCTATGTCGCCTACACGGGGATCTTTGTCTTTGCATGCGTGTGTGTGTCCGGAATATTTCCGCGTGTTTAAGACACCTACCCATCATCAGCTGTATGGTCTGTATGTTGAATGGCGTCCACGTGCCTGTAGGGTGGAGAAGGGGGAGGGAGGCGTTGTGGGGCGAGGAGGGGTCAGGGAGGGGTGGGGGTTGGGGGGTGGGTGGCGGGGTGGGGGATTGGGTGGGGGGTTGGGGGTCAACATGAGATCTGAAATCACGGCCTCGCCCAAATAATGTCACGTGACCACAGCAGCATCAACAGCCAACGTGTGTGTGTGCCTGTGTGCGCGTGTGCAATTGGATCCTTGGCTGCGTGCGTGCGTATCACGAACGTCGTGGAGGAGCGGTGGCGCGGTGGTTAGCGCTATGCGCTGCGAACCTTCGCGACCCGAGGTCGACTTCCGCTCACGGCCATCACCGGCACCATTGAGGATTATATTATCTGAACGGGTCCTGAGCCCCCACGAGGGTCAACTCAGCCTCAAATGAGCAATCAGAATATGTATTTATGCTGGAGGAATCCGATGAACATCAAGCTCTTGATAGCCGGGCGTGGTGCTGGCCACCCACCCCCTTGTGCGCGGTGCCGGTCTTCGTAGGTGTTTGCTCACAACAGCACTTGCCCCCACAGTATGTTTAGGCTATACGGGGGATCTTTGTCTTTGTATCACAAAGCCACGCGCCGGCGTGTGCTGTGCTGATTGTCGGAGCGCGAGAACACGAAAGTGTTCGACAAAATAACCAGGGCAGACAATTCTCGAGTCCATTCCTGGACGCAAAGACCACTAAGACAAAGATCCCCCGCGTAGCCTGTAACAGACTGTAGGGGCAAGTGCTGTGTGAGCGAGCGCCTAATGAAGGCCGGCACTGTGGCAAACGAGGGGGTGGGTGGCCAACACCACGCCAGGCCGTCTTTGTCTCCCCAGTGGCGATGTTTACACACCGCACCAGGTACTCATTTGAGGCTGAGTCGACCTAAGGGAGGCCCATGACCGGTTCAGAAAATCGTCACCGGTGGTGGACGTGAGCTGGATTCGAACTCAGGTGGCCGAGTTCGTAGCGCAGCGCGCTAACCGCTGCACCACCACTCCCCAATACACTGACACGCACACTGACACGCAGTGTATGTTACACATCCCATCAGCCAAACCGCAATCTGGGGAGTGCATCATTTCAGCAGCAGCAGCGGTGGCGGCGGTTCAACTCCAGCAAACACTCTGATCGGCTTCGACATTGGGCGACTCATCAGCAGTCTTGCCCGACCCGACTCAACAACGCTGGCGAACAGCCACTTAAACTACCAGCTCAGGCCCCTCAGAGCTGGCCACGAATGATAGCGCAACGAAGTGGCTTATCATCGTGTGGGGGAAATTTACACCGGACAAATACTCTCTAAACGCGTGATTGTTGATTCCCGACGTAGAGGGGAAACCACGGAGGAGCTGGAGACAAAATCCACACGACCACGGCGGGAGGGAGAGAGAGAGAGACGCGCAAACGCCAAATATACAGCCTCGGACGTCACGGTCGGGATCGAACGCACGACCTCCTGTAGACCAGGCGAGGTAGTTAACATCTCCTCGTCAGCGTGCCGCCAGTTGTCCCCCAGACAAGGAGGAATGTCTCTCTCTCTCTCTGAGCAAGGGTGGTCTGTCTCTTCTCTTCTTTCGTATGGCAAAAGAAAGAAAGCCCCCCCCCCCCCCCCCCGCGTCCCACGAGCCCCGGGCGCTAAGCCCGCACGAACACGGCGAGCGGCTCTGCCAACACCTGCGGTGTTTCTTTGTTGTTCACCACAGCCCTCTGTCGATCCACTGCTGGATGGAGCGATTCCCCCCCCACACACCGCGTGGGTCACGTGGGGTGGCGGATTGACCGGATGAGCCACTGCAGCCCCCGCCGTCGAGATATAATTCGTGATGGCCCAGGTCGCAACGGAACTCGGCCAAGGCTTTACAGCTAAAATACAAAATAGTTTATAGCTTTAGTTTATACTTCACGACACTGTGCCGGTCCCCGGGAGGGGGTGAGGGTGGGGGGGGGCTAGACTGTACTTCACCACGCGGGTCAGTGCTAGTTGGTGTGTCGACACATCATGGGGGTATTCACGTGATCACACACCTCAACTCAAACTAAACTCTGTTTACTTGACCAGGTAAAGCCCCACTAAGCTGTACAGCTCGTTTTTGAGAAGCGACCTGGCTCTCACAAATGATCGCGCAACGACGTGGCTCATCATCACGTGAATGATTTATAGCAGGGAAATACTGTGAGCGCGTCATGCTGATTCTAAATGTGCAGGCGAAAACCGGAGGACCCGGAGAAAAATCCACGCGTCTACGGGGAGAGAGAGAGACGCAAACTCCAAATACACAGCAGCAGCAGCAGGCGTCAGGGTCGGGATCGAACCCACGACCTCCTGTATACCAGGCGAGGTAGTTAACATCTCATAGCCACCGTGGCGCCCCAAGAATCTAGACACACGAGTCGAGATTCTTCACGAACACGTCTAACAGCTGTAGCACCCCCTCCCCCCGTCCCTCTCACAACGACTTCGATCTCTGCGCGTTCTGTTCCCAGCTGGTTAAACCGGACTGGGGAGGTATGGCGATTCCCTCCGGGCTCGCCACATGGGCAAGCCGAGAACGTCCCCTGACAATTCACCCCCCCCCCCCGGGCCTCCACCCCCCCCCCCCCCCCGGGCCTCCACCCCCCCCCGGCCTCCACACCCCCCGCGCCCCCCCCCCCTGACCATCCCCCCCCCCGACCATCCCCCCCCCCCCCGACCATCCCCCCCCCTGACCACCCCCCCCCCCCCGACCACCACTCAACACCACCGCCCCCCGAACCCCGTTCCGTTCCCCCCCTGGAACAGACGACGCGTCACGCGGTGTTCGCGTGACGCTGCGCTTGTCACGCGTGACGCGGCGCCTTGTCACGAGTGACGCGGCGCGTTGTCACGCGTGACGCTGCGCCTTGTCACGCGTGACGCTGCGCCTTGTCACGAGTGACGCGGCGCCTTGTCACGAGTGACGCGGCGCGTTGTCACGAGTGACGCTGCGCCTTGTCACTCGTGACGCGGCGCCTTGTCACGAGTGACGCGGCGCCTTGTCACGAGTGACGCGGCGCCTTGTCACGAGTGACGCGGCGCCTTGTCACGAGTGACGCGGCGCCTTGTCACGAGTGACGCTGCGCCTTGTCACGAGTGACGCTGCGCGTTGTCACGCGTGACGCGGCGAACGCGAGAACGCGAGAACGCACGACCTTTCATCCAGAGTGCCCCCCCCCCACCCCTCGCTTTTATGAGTGGACTCTGACAGCGGCAGGGTTCACAATCACCATCATCACCATCGCCGTCACCATCACTACCATCACCACCACTACCATCACCACCACTACCATCACCACCACTAACATCACCATCGCCGTCACCATCACTACCATCACCATCGCCATCACCACCATCACCATCGCTACCACCAGTACCATCACCACCATCACCACCAGTACCATCACTACCATCATCACCACCAGTACCATCACCACCATCACCACCAGTAGCACCATCATAAAGACAAAGATCTCCCAGTATAGCCTATAACAGACTGTAGGGGCAAGTGCTGTTAGCGAGCACCTATGAAGGCCGGCACGAGATACGAGGGGGTGGGAGGCCAGCACCACGCCCGGCCGCCTTTGTCTCCCCAGTAGCGATGTTTATTGCACACCACTACACCAGGTACTTGTTTAAGGCGGAGTCTACCTAGGGGAGGCTCAGGACCGGCTCAGATAATCGTCACTGCGGTCAGTGGGAATCAAACTCGGGTCGCTGGGTTCGTAGCATAACGCGCTAACCGCTACACCACCGCTCCCCACACCACCACCACCATCACCACGCTACCTCCCCAGCCCTAGTCTCATTTGTAAGAGCGACCTGGGTGAGTGGGTGAGGGTGAGTGGGTGAGTGGGAGAGGAGGCGAGTGGGTGAGTGGGTGAGTGGGTGAAGGTGAGTGGGTGAGGGTGAGTGGGTGAGTGGGAGAGGAGGTGAGTGGGTGAGGAGGTGAGTGGGTGAGTGGGTGAGGGTGAGTGGGTGAGGGTGAGTGGGTGAGTGGGAGAGGAGGTGAGTGGGTGAGTGGGTGAGGGTGAGTGGGTGAGTGGGTGAGGAGGTGAGTGGGTGAGGGGGTGAGAGTGAGTGAGTGGGTGAGTGGGTGAAGGTGAGTGGGAGGTGAGTGGGTGAGTGGGTGAGGGTGAGTGGGTGAGGAGGTGAGTGGGTGAGGGTGAGGGGGTGAGAGTGAGTGGGTGAGGGGGTGAGGAGGTGAGAGTGAGTGGGTGAGGGTGAGTGGGTGAGGGTGAGTGGGTGAGGGGGTGAGTGGGTGAGGGTGAGTGGGTGAGTGGGTGAGGAGGTGAGTGAGTGGGTGAGGGGGTGAGTGGGTGAGTTGGTGAGAGTGAGTGGGTGAGGGTTAGTGGGTGAGGGGGTGAGGGTGAGTGGGTGAGGGGGTGAGTGAATGAGTGAGGGAGTGAGTGAGGAGGTGAGTGGGTGAGTGGGTGAGGGTGAGTGGATGAGGGTGAGTGGGTGAGTGGGTGAGGAGGTGAGTGGGTGAGGGTGAGTGGGTGGGTGAGGGTGAGTGGGTGAGGGTGAGTGGGTGAGGGGGTGAGTGGGTGAGGGGGTGAGTGGGTGAGGGGGTGAGTGGGTGAGTGTGAGTGGGTGAGGGTGAGTGGGTGAGGAGGTGAGTGGGTGAGGGGGTGAGGGTGAGAGTGAGTGGGTGAGGGGGTGAGTGGGTGAGGGGATGAAGGTGAGTGGGTGAGGGGTGCCTGTTTGTGAGGAGCGGTCGTGGAGTGGTTAGCGCACCGCGCTACGAACCTCACCACCAATAACATTGGCGAATATTTGAACGGATCCTGTGCCTCCCCTAGGTCGACTCAGCCTTAAATGAGCACCTGATACTGCATGTAAACAGCAGCACTGCGGAGACAACGGCGGCTGGGCCGTATCCTTGGCTACCCACTCCCTCGTGTCCGGTGCTGGTCTTCATTCGTGCTCGCTAACTCTTGCCCCAACAGCCTCATGAAAGCTAGACGGGAGATCGTTGTC